ATCTTCTCCATTAGATGGGCATAAATGAGGGGCTGCAAACTCATGCCTGCAGGAGCCAGGTAGGTCAGGGATCTCCAAAGCTGTGGACCAGTACCTCCACAGTGGCCTGTTAGGAGCCAGGCCACACAGCAGGAGGTGAGTGGTGGGCGAGTGAGTGAAGCTTCATCTGTATTTGCAGCTGCTCACCAGAGCTAGCATCACTGCCTTGGCTCCACCTCAGATCATCAGGCATTAGATTCTCATAGGAATGAACACCAGTCCCTGGTGCGAAAAAGGTTGGGGACCGCTGAGTAATTTAAAAGAGAGGTGGACAGTAATAAGACTGTAGCAAACAGGAAAACCTGTGGAGAATTGAAACAAAACTTCAGGAGCCAAACAAATATGAATGCAAGTTGGATTTGGCCTTGGGGTCACCAGTTTGTGACTGGAGAGACTTTCCAGAATGGAGGCCTAGGTAGGTCATTCCTGGGGTGGCCCCATTCCCTTAGTGCCTGAGACCTCAGAAGGTTCTAAACTCCCAGGACTAGAGAGCTCAGAACTCCGAACACTAGGCCTTACGTGCTCAGCCCGTGAGAGAGAAAGGGTAATTATGTTTTATTCCTTTGAAATCATATTCAAATGAATTGCTCAATTACATCAGAGTGCAGCACTGTAGCTATTTGAACAAGTCTTTCTGCCTCTCAATTCCAAATTCCTGGGAGAAAGAATCTGATAAGCCCAGTCCAGCCTCGGCATTGGACCAGCCCTGATCCAGTAGCTGTGGCCAAAAAGGAGTAGGATCATAGCAGCAAATGTGGCTGCAACTGTGGGTGGGTGGTAGGTGGGTGGTAGGTGGGTGAGAATGGGTGGAGCAGTTCTCACGGAAGCAGGGCTTGGCCTGAGCAAAACTCTATGACATTTAAACTAGCCTTCGGGATGAGTAGAATGTTCTAGGTAATAGGTATGCGTGGCGTGAGGAGAGAGAGGTGAGTGAAGTAAGAGTGTTCAAGGAGGAGGGAACAGCATGTATGAGGTGGGATGGGGGACATTGCCAATGGTTTTGTATGGAAGGAGCCCAGAGGACAAAGTAAGTCATACTAAAGAACTTGGACTATTTTCTTGAGGGTAGTGAAGAGGACTTAAAGCTAGATTCAGTAGATTTGCAATTAGAAAATCACTCTGGCTGCCACGGGGAGGATGGACTGGAGAGAAGCAGAGCAGAGGCAGAGCCAGCTAGATAAGCAGTTCACCTGGTGAGAGATGATGGTGGCTCACACTGCTAAGGGATGCAGAAAGTCTAAACCAGTTTTAGCCTCAGTTTCACTCCAATCAATGAGCATCCCCACTGGAGGAGCAACCCACCGTGTACCTGCCCCAACTCGGAAGCCGGTCTTTGACATTTGAGGACCCTTACTCCTCAAAGTGTGTCCTATTGACCAGCATCACATTATCTGAGAGGTTGTTAGGAATGCAGAATCTCAAGCCCTGCTCCAAACCCACTTAATCCAAATCTGCATTTTAACGAGATCCTCAGGTGATTTGTACACATGTGAGAAAGTGTCAAGGACTGTCCTAGGACATTGCATAACTCCCATGTCGCTCACCTTGGTCCTTTATCGTGGCTCTGGGGAGCTTCCTGTCAGTGGCTTCCCTCTTGCTGAGGTGAGCCCCCCATCCCCCAGGCTCTGACATTTTCCTCCCAGATGCCCACAGGCCCCTCATTGGAACTGGGGCTGTGTGCATGTGCTGAATGCATGTGTCCAGACCTAAAGATGCAGCTGGCTTCCTGCGACCAGACTCAGCTCCCCCTACTTCATCTCACTGGCTGTCCATTTGTCCTTTGGATTTTTCTCTGCAGGAGATAGTGGACTGGTTCAATGCCCTCCGCGCAGCCCGTCTGCAATACTTAAAAGTGGCCTTTCCTGAGCTCCCAGAGTCTGAGGTGAGCTAAATGTGAATTCCCAATTTCTGAGTCTCTTTTCTGCGACCTCCTTCTCCATGTCTGCTGACCTCGAAGACACTCAGAGGCCAGACTAAGTTGGTTTCCAGGCAAGACCTTGAGACTTGGGGTTGAGTACCTCAGAGAGAAACTAAAGGCTTTCTTTTGGGGAGGCTGGGGTATTATGGCTTCACACATGGCAAGGCAGCCTCCAAAAAGCAGGTGAGGCTCTCACCTTTGGGATGCATGGCACCATCCACCATCTCAAAGGGCTCAGGATCTGTGCATTTCTTCCTGACTCCTTCTCCCTTTAAAAGGTACAAATGATTCCTACCATACTGCTTACAAGGTGCTTTTGAGTCCATTTTATCTTGTAATTCCTTTTATCTCATGATCCTTGCAGTAGTCTTTTAGGTAGTGGGTGATTATTCCCATTTTACTGATGAAAAACTGAGTCCCAGGAAGGTCAAGTGAATAACTGAAGGTGCTCTTCCCACCCTCACATCCTCCTTTGCTCTTTCGTGTTCTGGTCCCATGAAGGAAATGGGATCTTCATAATTCTACCAGAAACAGTCTGCCTTTCATGGCCAAGGTAATGGTAAGCCTGAGAACTTCATGTTGATTGTCTTCAGTCATCTGGGCCATCCATCTATATCTCTCAGGCTTGGCTGGGGAAGCAGACAGTGTGGGGCAGAGGATGTTACCTCAAGCCAGGAGGCCTGGGCTCTCATGGACGCTCTGTCACTAACTTGCTGTGTGACCAGTGCAGGTCACGTCACCTCTCCACACATTTCCAGATCTGTAAGATGGCGATTGAGCTGGGTCATCTTCAGGGTCCCTTCCAGCTCTGAGGTTCTGTGATCTGTTGTCTGTTTTAGGACCTGCTCTAAGAGGATTTTTGTAAGTGACAGGGGTAGAGAGACCATATTAATCCTGGGACTATCTTATTCCAAACTGTTAAGTCCTCCTTGAAAGCCTGAATGCTCCTTAATCCAGAGGTTTGCAGGGAACCAGGTGTCTGGAATGGGGGTCCACTCCAGGCCCAGTGACACACCGAGATGGCAACTCTCTGAAAGCAGTTCCAGCCAGGCCTGAGTCAGGGTGCTCCCGGTCTGCAGAGTCAGCACTCAGAGCTGGTGAACGCATGTTCCTGTAGGCAGGGTGTCAGGAGTGCTGACTGCTGACTGGGAAGGACAGGAGGACAAAGTGCAGATGCTTGGCCTTGTTTATCTGGCTAGCTCTCCAACTTTGCTGATCCCTGCAGAGGCAATTGGGCTTTGGCCAACATCCTCAATGTCCTCTTGCCTCCCTCATTGAACATTGTTACCCCTTGTCCACCCCCAGGCTCCTCCTTGCCTTCCTCTCTCCCCCGTCTTTCCCCACCTATGTCTCTGTGAGGTTCTGGGCAATCACCCAGGCCTGGTTCAAACTTAGGGATCCAGATGCCAGAAACCCAGGGAGTCCCAGTGGGGCTGTGGTCCTCTGCTAAGAAATGCATGGACTCTGAAGTCAGAGAAGCTGATGGGTTACCTAGGGCAAGTCACCTTACCTGTCTGAGCCTCAGTTTACTCATCTGTCACCATGGGGATAATACCTACCTTCCAGGGCTATTGTGAGAATCAAGCTAGCCAAGGCATCCAAGGTAAATAGTACTCCATCCATCTGCTTTTCTTCCTTTCGGTTGTTTCCCTAGGCCTAGTCTAGCCCTGCCTTGGCTCAGGTTCAGACTGTTGAGCACTAGGGACTGTTTTTATCTCCAAATGAAAGAATTAAAGTCTATAGAATATATTTTTTAGAGAAAAAGGAATGGTATAGTTTATTTATTTGGTTTTGACTCACAATTTTCACCCTTTCAGACTTCCCATTCTTATTCCCCAGACCTTATTTCTCCTTTGCCTTTGACCTGGGCCCTGGGGCTCTGGAGAACTGCCTCTGCTTTCAGATGCCTGGGCTGTCATTTGAAGCTTTAGACTTGCCAGGCTGACCCCCTGGAGCATAGGAGGCCAGCATCAATCCCCGGAAGCTTCGCTGAGAATAGGATGGCAAGCTGGAAGGGGTCCTGGAGATCATCAGCCATCTCCTCATTACATAGAGGGAAACAGGCCCAGAGAGGCATAAGGTTTTACCAAGAGAACTCAGCTGTTTGAGGTCAGAACTGGAGCTAGAACCCAGGTCTCCTGACTTCTAGTCCAGACCTTTCTCTACTTGCCCACTCTGCTGTCACCTCCTTGGGGCCCTATGGACGAATCCCCACCGATGTCCAGGTTTTGGTCAGGGTCCTACTCAGAGGCATGTTTATATTTTAGCACCATAGTGCAGTGGTAGGGGTACCTCTACTGTCTGTCTCGTGTGCAGCAGCCCTAGGTATGAATCCCAGATCTTCGTCCTACCAGCAGTGTGAGTTTGGGAATACCCCAGGCCACTATACAATTATTCAGTGAGGATGATAATATCCACCACTTCATGGGGTGGTTGAGAAATGCTCCCAGAGCCTGATACACAACAGACCCTCAGAACAAGCCCCCTGACACCAAGAGGGTCTCCTCAGAGCCTTGCCTGTGTCTATCTCCTGGGGTTATTGATGCATTCCTTAAACTAAGTACTTAAACCAAGACTCGGCTGTGCTGGGAAGCCCTGCAAACATCTGGGGTACTGTCGTCTGGCTCTGTTGAAATATTAATATTGCATCTATACCATGTTCCAAATATAACCCTGTGAACCATGAGC